GTGTCTGTACCACCTTGAGTATCAGTGTGAGTAACGGTGGTGGTGAAAGTTCCAGTCCAGGTAGAAGTCTGAGTAGTCTCGGAGTTACTTGGAACTTCAACTATAACAGTGTCTGTACCACCTTGAGTATCAGTGTGAGTAACGGTGGTGGTGAAAGTTCCAGTCCAGGTAGACGTCTGAGTAGTTTCGGAGTTACTTGGAACTTCGACAATGACGGTGTCTGTACCACCTTGAGTATCAGTGTGAGTAACAGTGGTGGTGAAAGTTCCGGTCCAGGTAGAAGTCTGAGTAGTTTCGGAGTTACTTGGAACTTCAACTATAACAGTGTCTGTACCACCTTGAGTATCAGTGTGAGTAACAGTGGTGGTAAAAGTTCCGGTCCAGGTAGAAGTCTGAGTAGTTTCGGAGTTACTTGGAACTTCGACAATGACAGTGTCAGTACCGCCTTGAGTGTCTGTTGCTGTGATAGTAGTAGTGAAAGTGCCTGTCCAAGTCGAAGTTGTAGTGGCTTGGTCATTTCCGTTTGGGGGAGAAGGAAGTGATGGACATATGGCACAAACACTTGGTCTTCCTGAGTCAGGGGGAGCAGGAGGGTAAAGTAAACCAAAGTTTGAGTTTGCCACGGCTGCACCCTGTCCAAAGTTAGCAGCTCCAATTTGTATTTGGGATTCGTCGTAGCCAGTGCCAATTATAACAGTATATGTATACGAACCTGCTACAATGGTCAATGTATCATCACTATAAGTAAAGCTTCTGATGGTACCACTGAATCCAATTACATTCCCGTTACCCCATCCAGAAACCCTATATGAGAAAGTTGGTCTGTAGAGATCAATTCTCAAACTGGAAGAGCTTGTACTAAGAAGTATTGTCTGCGTTTCCGCTATCGTTCTAGAATTTGCATTTGTGACCCAAAAGTTACTATCTAAGCCGACGTCAAAACATCCGGTACCAAAGACATTTGATCCTTGATAGAAAATTTGCTGGTAAACACAGACAGTCCCATCATTTGTGACATCAGAATTATCAGGACCTATGTGTGCATTACCACCTGTACGAGAAACTGATTGATAGAAAGTGACAGTCCCCTCATTGACAAATGTAACACGAGGACGAACATTATAAGTTGAACCACCGGTATTACCGATTCCCGCAAGCCACATATTTCCATAGTTGTAAACGGATCCACCATTCCAATTAAATGTGGGAGCAGATGTACCATTCAAATCGTTGAGGACAATGTCTCCATAATTTTTAAGCGTATTAGATGTTCCAGTAAAAAGAGAAGTCATCCCTGTCCTATGATTTCTGTCACTAATATAGAGCATCCCATAGACGGTTAAGTCCTCATAGAAGTTATGAGTGAGACCAGAGTCGATTGCTAAGTAAACTCCTGGGTTAATTATATAATCATCATGATAGAGGGTATCGCCTGTACTTATAAGAGTATTGGTCGATACCTCAACCGTTGCAGCAATGACTTTGCTCAAACCTAATAGCACTAAAGGTATTAAGGATCTGAATAGCATCTTACTTTTAGTCTTTTATCTGTTTCGTTCATTTTTGGCCCTAATCATATGGTTTTTATATTCCGAATAGGATTGCTGAATTATTGGTTTGTGTGAGTGCAAAGTATCACCTATGCCCAAAAAGAAGCATGTTGATTCTTTTAGGCATGTACCCTCCATGCATACTTCTCTGGCTTGCATTTTTCTTGTAGTTAACTCCAGCAGAAAAATAATTGCTGCAGGTTTTTAGTTCTCTTTTTGAGCAGATGCTTGGCATACTATCCCCTAAATGGTAGAATGGCAAGGTATAGACAAAACAATTCTTAAGAGTATTAAGTAGTTCCTCTTCATTGATGCAAAGAGTGCTCAACATATTCAACGGCCCTGACTCTAATAGAGAAATGCATCGAAAAATATTCTATTTGTAATTGTCTGTAAATAGGCTTCAATTATCTTTGAAGATGCATACTTGCAACTATAATAGTGTGATATTTCGCAAGTCACCTTCAAAATAAAAAAGGCTCATTTTCTCAGAGCAAGGTATTATTGCATGCTTAGTCTCTATTATTTCTAAGTGGTACGTTTAAGCGTAGAGTAACCGATTTTGAATATTCTATTTCCGGTTTCGTAAATGGTATTTGCCAAGAGTACACATTTCCAAAAAAAGATTTATCATATACCATCTATCCACTTTTTTTATTCAGATGCCGCAAAATTGAACAGTTACGAACTGTATTTCGTATACTACATCTGAGTGGAGAGGTTATATTATAATAGTTTCACTTTGCATGAGTATTGGGTATTAATCAGACCCTATTTTGTTAGCTTACTTGTGTAACTATATACCATACCGGAGATATCATCGAACAAGAACACTGTACGGGAATATTACCTTAGAAATGTCTTGGCTCTATGTAGAAAATTATACGGGTGATTCGCATATGCATAACCATGCACAACGACACAAGCAATAAAGTTCATCAAAAATACTACACTTCATGTACGCCCGAATGAACTGCTAACACTCTTTTGTATAGATTGCCAAAATATGCACAACAAACGAGGATCTTCACATTGAATATTCGGAAAGAGGTAATGAATGACTTTCACTCTTGATAATTAACTTAGATCTCGCTGTAATTATATGTCGAAAAGGCCAAATTGATTCGCTCAGTTTGGTACAATAGAAAATACTTCACATTGTTAAATTGATCTCCTCAAATGTCCAGATAGATCCCTCTCCATTCATAAACTAGTTATTCACGAAAAAAGTTCGCTCTTAGTTAGATTCGTTTGATCTCATATGTTCCATTTAATTATAGATCTGGCTTCTTTACAGCTGTTTTCATTGATATATAGCAGCATGCTGCATTAATTTAGCCTCAACTGCTTCTAACGCAACTCTGACATGAAAAATGGATGATCTTGCATAAGATTTTGGCTTTGAAAATAATATTCGCGAAGTGTTATCTTCTCAAAGAAAAAAAAAAGAATTCTTATTTCTATTGTAAGATCTCGTAAATCCAGACCGTTACGAATTGTTTTCATATACTTCCTTGTAATAGAAAGAATCCGTTTCTATTATAAGTTTCGGTAGATTGCTGAGAGATAGTTTGAAATCAAATTCGATCTTGCTAGCGTAATCGTAATTTATGTACTATTCTTGAAAGATTTAGACAGACTTAATAAATTTCCCAAGCAGAATTTCTCTTACTCACACGGTTGGTATTGCGATGTAAATTTCTTGGCCATAAGAGAAATGCCAGTTAAAATATCCACATATGCAAGAATGTGAACGAAGGCTAACACAAGAATGATCGTGAAATAATACACTTCAAGTACTTTTGGAGTAAATATTCACATTTTGCTTCATTTTAATAGCCAGGATATACATAAAAGCTAAATAAGCTCATACTACACTTTTCGAAATGATGCTTGCTGAATACAAAAAATTTGGAGATTAAAAGAACTAACTTATCTTAATCTTATCGGAAATAAGAATTTGTGACTGTACATCACTGGTAGTCATAACTAAACATTACCTTCATTGAAAGTGTTGAATTTTGCTGTGCCAAAATTCACGAAGATACAACACTTGAAGAAATGGAAGAGGTATTGTAGGTTGACACACGCCACGACTTGAACTCCAGTAGACGCTATACATCTACTTCGCACCACTGAATTACTAATGTTAATGATATCAGAGGATAGTGGTTCTTTGAAGTACTGAATTTTGTACTTCTTGTTCTATGAAATATATATGTGCAAAATGCTAAATCTTGATTCCTCAAAAGCTTTTTGAAGAACATCGCTGCATTCCTTCTAAAGTAGCATAATAGCTTCTGCAGGGAAGGAACCTTTGTGAAAATAGACTACAACTGGGTTGATCTTCACACGTAAGGTATCATCATGTAGTAGGATCTAATTATGAATTCAACAAAAAAGACAAAATGTAGTTATATCTTGGTATAGAACAGGTAAGATGTTATACCCGGTTGCCTCGAATTAGTTTTTTAGAAATTTCCAAGTATATTAGTGGTGCTTCGGAATTAGCCAACCAGGGTAAAAAGAAAGGTTAAGCCTATCAGCTAAATTGTACTCGTGGGGAACTGATATTACTTCTCAATGCTCTGGACTAGATAGTGTTAACGGTAATTATTCAACTTGCCTTGGTATTGCTTTACTTCCCTCAAGTTCAAGTTCTTCATTTGGTGTTGCGTGAATTTTACTCAGTCCCATTTAAACAAAAACAGAAGTCTCAACTAGCTCCAGCAACTATTTTCAATCTTCTCTTTGAATTAGCTTCAACTATTCATTAGACTCTGTATTTGCTCTGGCTCCCATGTTTGAAAATTAGGTAAAATACCTCACACGTCAGGTCTGCCCTGCGCTTAATATTTTCTCACGGTATTATTTAAAATTTTCTTCAATTTAAAATACTAAAAACAATTCTAATGATAAGTCATGCTGCTAAAGTTGGGAGCTAGATTGCTTCTTAAGATTTAAATCAGACTATTATTTTATTATGAATGAATATCAACATTCTCTACAACAGTTGAATAACATCACCAAGAAGCTGATGCTTTACTTTGGCGTAGGCGATAGTGTACGTAGCTACAATTCAGGCGCGGAGCAATTTTTCAGGTACATTTTGATATAAGGAACTTTAAAAGATACTAAACTTTCTGAGCTTTAATATTCGACTTTTTTCAAAACAACCGGAAGTCATGTCCAAGTTACTCATCGAAAGCTATCACTCAGGAATTTACCAAAACCACATTTGAAAGAGATCAATTTATATCCGAATAAACTCTGGTACTTCACACCTTAGCTCAATCAAGCAGGAACATTTCTAGGGTGGCCCAGCTTCAGTTGAGTATGAAATTCCAGATAAAAACATCGGGATTTCCAAAAGACTGCATTCGGAAAATAAACTATTTTTATTCATTCCCTCAATGCTACCATTTGAGCCCTTCGCATTATATGCCAAAATTGCTGCAACTCGCGTTAATTATTTTGGTTGCAAATTAAATACAAACTAAATAGCAAAGAAAAATAAATAGAAGTGTATGAATTTTTGAATATTTTTTTCCGAGTAATGCAAAATATTTATACTATTGTATCAGTACACTTGAAGCGATTGAAAGTTCTTACCATGGAAGTTTATCCCTGTTTGCTTAATTGGAAGAGCAGATCATGCATTGACAGTGGTGTCGAGTAGAGCTGGTTAGAAATATTAAGAGCATGACTCTAAATCGACTGAAGACTTGTTTACTGTGGTTCATAGAAGATGATAGTAGTAAGGCCATTATTTTCGTTAAAATCTACGAAATCTTTTCTATCAAAATTAAATGCTTCCTGTGAAAAGTAACAACGGCTTCTTTTTTATTTTACTTCAGAAATACACCTCGAGTAAAAGTGCCTACTAAACCTTTGTCATATATCTGTTCATCGCTGAACAAAGATTAATGATGTATGCTTCTCGCTAGTTATATTAATTGACATATAAATACCTTCATATCAATTCTTTCTCTGAGCTTTTTGCTTCTTGTCGAAGTGATTTTCAAATTTGTAAAGGATTTCATTTGTGTCTCACTAGCGAGTCCTTTGTTATCTACATGGGCCAATTATTTGGTATAAAGCTTGGTTATGCTCCGCGCGCCAGCTGAATTATTAAAAAAACAGTACCTAAAGAAATGAACCGGCAAAACCATTTTGCTGGATCACCACATACGTAAAGCCCTAAGCTTCAGCCTCTTTTAATTTGAGCAAAAACATAATGAACTCAAAATTTCTAACCCAAACTCTTCAAGTACACAAATATTCAGAGATGTGGTCAGTAACGGCTGGTATAATATATACTGGGGACTATAAACCTTGTGGGATGCAACATAAGAGGCTTTTGCGTGATTTCATAATAATAAGATGAAATTTACATGTAGCCTGTCTTTAGTAGAAATACTGGCGTAAGCTGATATAGCTAAACTGTCGGACTATCCTTACACATTTCTACATCATTTAATCGTGGTATGTGAGATATTTTTATGGTTGATCTTTATTCGAACTGTACCCGTTATCATTCGATGCTTTCATGATTATTTAACTCTTCTTTACTGTTTTAGAAAATTCCTTTACTCTAAACTCTTCCTCGTCGACTAGTCTGATTACTGGAGAAGTGACTAATCACTTCAATTTGAGCTATTCTTTTGAAAATCTTTTATAAGCATGAATTTGATATTTTGCCTTAAAAATTCTTGACAATAAATCGTTAATGCTCCATTAGTCTTCCTGATAGAGTGGCTTGGGCATAAAATGTGCAGGGTGTCGGAGAATCTGGCAAAGTAAAGCATAGCACTAAATTACTTTCAAGTTTGTTTCAAGGGATATACTCTGAATTTTATATCTTTGAACTAAGATCTGCAATTTTTAAAATATATTTAAGGGTATAAATCGAGCAGCTAATATAGCATCGATTTAGAATGATGTTTTTTCAAAGGTAATCAAACAGGATAATACCCAATAATCATTGTAGACTGTCGATTTACTTTCTAAGTAAGGAAAACTTTTGCATGAGTGTGATATTTAACTTCATTCCAATCGGTAATATGGTTTGTAACCAAAAGCTGAATTAATGGAGATATTTAAAAGTTGGCTTGAATTCTCAGATGACGTACTATATACACTTTAGGTAATTATTGAATGCATGGCTGCATCGAACTACGTTCCGAAGTAAAAATTTTGTGTCAGTATAACTTACATTTTCCTCATTATTGATATTTTTTATTAAAATCTATAAATCAAATAATGAAATAAAATATTGTACTATACGCTTTAAAATAGTGAAATAAAATTGAAAATGAGCCATATCTCAATGTAAGGGTTGAGGACGGTTAGATGTCTTCTAAGTTTGAAAACTTAGACAGTCATCTAGAATAGAAAAATAGTAGCTAAATGAAGTAGCTTAGTAAAATTGAAAACAATAAAGCCTTCGAAATTGAAACTCTTGAAGATATGCCTTCATATGAGATGCTTGAAGGTTTTGTGGAAGTAGGGATGCTTCCTGTGACAAATTCAGTTGATACTGAAGTTGATACTGAAGGTGATACAGCTGGTATCGCATCAGTGCCTGAACCCACAGGTGATGTACCATAGTTAGCTGCTAAGGATGTATTGTCAGCATCAGAGGTGAACTTGGTATTCGTACCTGAAGGAGCGGGAACATTTTCTGTTGGGGAAGAGCCCACCGCCGAATTTGTAGAAACACCATTTGGTAACTGACTATTAGAATCTGTAACTGACCTGATACTTTGAGTACCTCTCGCAGCGGCGATTGAAGATTGTTTGGAACTACTTTCATCTTCTTGCAGTTGTGGAATGCTATACTGGGTTGACAATGGAGGCGAGTACCCATCTGTAGTTGAAGTTACCTCTGTGTGAGGGTTTAATTCTGTACTTGATTCAACGTTAGAAATTGATTTCCTTGAAGTTTCCGAGCCAGAAGAGACAGATGGAGTGATTGTAGGGAACGTATTCCTAGATGACAGTAAAGTCAGCACAACATTAGGATAGGAAGACGTCAAAGAAACTGATAGTGAGGTAACTGTACTACTTTGCATGATTAATGAACTACTGTTCCAGTAGTTTACCAGTGAAAAGTATGAGGTCTTGGTGCTTGAAGGCACTTCAACAATGACAGTATTAGTACCACCACTCGAGGCTGGAATAGTCACCGTTGTCATATAAGAGCCGGTCCAAGTAGATGTTACTGTAGTAACAGGAGTTGGAACGTCAACAATGACATACTCAGTGCCTGAAATGATCTCTGTAGTGCTAGATGTATAGGCACCTGTCCAAGTAGAAGTTATAGTTGTTGTTGCAGTTCCTACTGCAATCGAGGAAGTCTTTGAGCCCGAATTTGAAGACGATACACTAGCTGTTACATCAGCGATATACACAATTGTATCAGGAATGGTGAGAACTTGTCCCTGTGGCCCAAGCATGATAAATTCAATAAATTCGTCTCCACCAAGATAATTGTTAACGATACTAATGGGGTAGTAGACTCCTTTAACAAGTTCAACTGCTACCTTACCACTTCCTAATGGCCCTTCAATAATTAAGGGAGATGCAGTAGCTCTCTTTTTCAATGAGCTTCCGCAAGAACCACCTTCATCAGCACCAATGAATAACGCTGCAGCACTTTCCACATTACTCAACTCAAATGAATAATTACCACTCTCAGGTGGAATAAAGTAACCTTCCAAATCTAGAGTGAGTTCATCGCTAATGACGGCATCAGCATCAATCACTCCTTCTCTAGTATACAATAAGTCATTTCCTTTATAGTCACCTTCAAGGTACGTCAGAACATCTTCAGGAGTAGTGTAGTCATAATAATATCCAATAAAACCCGAAGCTACAGATCCATCGTAGGAACATCCAATAGCCGTGGGCAAAGAACCAGTAGACAGGCTCAGAATGGAACCAGAAACCAGGCTCAGAATGGAACCGGTAGTCAGGCTCAGAATTGAACCGGTAGACAAACTCAGAATCGAACCAGAGACCAGGGTCAGAATTGAACCGGTAGCCAGGCTCAGAATCGAGTCAGAGGCCAGGCTCAGAATTGAACCAGCAGTCAGGCTCAGAATTGAACTAGTAGACAGGCTCAGAATTGAACCAGTAGTCAGGCTCAGAATTGAATCAGAGGCCAGGCTCAGAATTGAA